CCCGCTGTCGCGCTGCCGCCGTCGCGCCGCGAGCGTCGGAATCCGGCGGGGCCCGCGCGCGGAGGTTGGGTCGCGGCGGCTGCGTTGTCTAGCTTGCGCGGCTCGTTCTTGTCTTGGAGGGCGTAGCGCGCTGTTCTGGAACAAAAACACCCCAGTGCACCAAAGCAAAGCGCGCCTTGGAGGACCTTGCGAGCATTTGGCCTCGCGTGTGTTGTGCGAGCGAGTCTGGACGCTTCCGTGTGCACTTCGTCTGCGGGACCAGCAGGGCGGGGACCCGCGCTGGGGAGGCCGAGGCAGGAAGGTCGCGCGGGTCGGAAGCCCGCCAGAGCTACGTGGGGGTGCTGGGGCAGCGTGACCTTGTCACAGAAGGCAGACAACAACAACAAACCCCAAAATAATAATAATGGGAAATATAGCTCAGCGGCACAGCGCCTGCCTGGCAAACAGGAGGTCGTGAGTTCAAATTCCGAAACCAAATAATAATAATGGGACCATACTTAGCGTCTGGTAAGAATGGACCCCATTATTATTAGAACTGTTGTGTAAAATTAGCTTTGTTCGATTTACAAACTAAAGACTCTAGAGATAGATGTTTGCACGTTTGATGGAGAGGGTGCGCAGTGTCTGGGCCGGGCACAGTGTCCCAGGTCGCCAGAGACGCAGCAGAGCTAGGATTCAAAATTCTTATTATAAAAGTAGCATTCTTGGGGCTGGTGAGATGGCTCAGTGGTCTAAAGCACCTACTTAGAACAAGCTTAACAAAGCAAAGGGACCGCGGTTCGATCCCCCAGCACCACAGGCCAGCCAGCCCCGCCCCGTGGTGGGCTGAGCTGGCCACACACACACATAAATAAGTAAATTTAAAAAAAAAATAAAAGTAGCATTCTTATAACATCAAGTGGAATGGCTGCATCACAAAACAGACGTTGTTTCAACTCCAAAGATGAATAGATTTAAACACGGTTCTCATGAAAGACTTTTAGCAGGCCGTTGGGGTTCCCAGCCAGGAGTGGTGACCAAGCCTTTTTTTTTTTTGGCAGAACCGGGGATTGAACTCAGGCCCCTGCGCTTGCCAGGCAGTCTCTCATTCCGCTGAGCCATCTCCTCACCCCCAAGTCTGTCATCGTGATGATACAGGGAGAAAAACTGGTCTCCAGTGGGTGACTTCCAAACCATATAGGGAGGCTCCAAATGACACAGGGGAAAACGGTCTCCTGACCTGCCCTGCACGAGTTCATGTTCTCTAAACGAACGGAGGTTATGAGCAGAATATATTTATTGAGAGAAAGAAAGCTCCCGCCCAAGAGAGGGACAGGAGGGGGGCCGCGCCGATAGTCCCCCTCAGGAAGTTGTCTCTTGCAGGGGCTTTTATAGAGGAAAACCATGTGGTGAGGCGGGTCTAAGGTGGTGGAGAAGACTTGGGAAACTATGGTCAACCAGTGAGATTACAGGCACCATTGCTCAGGTAAAATTGATAAATCCAGTTCCAAATGGGAAAGCGAGTCACGTAGCAAGCGGGCATGAATATGGGACAGGGTCTCTTCCTGTTGGGGGCTGGGCTAGTGACTCATTTGGGCTCTTTCAAGGTGATTGATACTATTTAGGATATCAATCCCTAATGCCCATCCCTAGGGAAGTATGTAGCCTGCTTCCTCTTTTTGTCTTGGTCTTCGGGCGTGGCCCGTATGGGAGTGTCTGTCTCTTCCAAGTTGCAGTCACCTTGTCTTCCATCTTGTCACCTTGAGGGCCTGGCCCTGTCTAACTGCCTATAATATTTATGTCTAACTCAGCTGCCTACAACAGTGAGGCAAGGATTGAACGTTTGAGCCCAGTGTGTGCAGTTAGGGGGTTGGGAGGCCCCTGTCTCAAAAAAGGGCTGAGGGGTGTAGTGTAGGTCAAGGAAGGCCTGCACCTTCCTGTTCAGTGCCCGGTGCCAAAAACTGAACAAACGGCTGCTCCTTTTAATACTCTTTCACTAATGCACTGTCCTACAGGGGAGCCCTTCTGGCTGGCTGTTAGCAGCAATCATAGGGTAAGAATTTTTGGAGCGCAGCTATTTCTATGTTTAAACCTTTTTGAAGTCACTGTAAATCAAGTGTAGATTGGTAAGTGCAAGGTGGGGAAAAAATCAGCTGTGAATTAATTACATTAAAAATTGCAAAAAAAAATAAATAAATAAAAAATAAAAATTGCATCCATTCCTTTAGCTAAGTGATGTTTATGAGCAAGAAAATGAATTACAAAAAATACATAAAAAATCTCGGGCCAGCCAGATAGCTCAGTGTGTTAAAGTGCCTGCTTTGGCAGAGTGGGTGGGGTTGGATCCCCGGTGTGCCGAGGCGGCACTGTCCCCAGTGGAGTTTAGACGGGACTGAGACTGGGCGTGGCAGTGGTGCCCGTAATGGGCGGGAGAATCACTGTGAGTCTCTTCGAGGGACTTTTCTAGAGGAAAACCATGTGGTGAGACGGGGCTAAGGTGGTGGAGAAGACATGGGAACTCGCTTAGGTAGGCATGAGGTGGGACAAAACTATGGTCAACCACTGAGGTTACAAGCACCATTGCTCAGGTAAAATTGATAAAATCCAGGACCAAATGGAGAAGGGAGGCACGCAGCAAGCGGGAATGAATACGGGACAGGATCTCTTCCTGCTGGGGCTGGGCTAGTGACTCATCTGGGCTCTTTCAAGGTGATTGATACCTATGTAGAATATCAATCCCTGATGTCCATCCCTAGGGAAGAATGTAGCCTGTGTTTCTCTTTTGCCCTGGTCTTGAGGTGTGGCCCACATGGGAGTGTGTGTCTCTTCTAAGTAGCAAAGTCTTCTATCTTGTCTCCTTGACCTGTCTGACCGCCTATAATATTTCTATGTAATTCAGCTGCCTACAACAAAAGTACAAAACATGCTGGTCCTGGTGGCACACTTCTGTGACCACAGCATGTAGGAGGGTGTCCAGGAGCTGAAGTCAGCCTGAGCTACGTTGCGAGCCGTTGTCTCAAAAAACAAAAGCGGGGGAAGAAAGGGAAAAAAAATCAAAGCTCATTGCCACCCTTAATGATTTTTTTTTTTCTTTTATGTCTGTAGTCCAGGGTCTCACTGTACAGATCGGCCTCCTAGTGACCCTCCTGTTTTCAGCCTCACAAGCACTGGGATTACAGGCGCATGCCGCCATGCCGTCTCAGTTGGGTCTCAGCGCATCTGGGGGGCAGGGCATGCAGGGATCAAACCCGCATCACTGAGCCCTCAATTGTTACTGTTTTTAGTTTTCTGCAAAGCTTTATTCCGGAGGGGCTCAGTGCTTCCTTCCTCATGGCGGCCAGCATGTTGCTCAGCTCCTCGCGCTTCCTCTTGGCGCGGAAGTTAGAACTCAGCGCACCCCAGGGCAGGGCTGGCGTGGCGTGTGGTGCCGGGGATCGAACCCTGGTCCCTGTGCTTGCCTCAGCAGGCACCTTAGACCGCTGAGCTATCTCGCTGGACTTTCCTTATAACTTTCATGCTATTATTAACGGCTAAGTTAAGAT